AACAGAGGACTCTATGGAAGTCAATAAGAAATAGGCGAGATAGGTTGGTAGGACACCTTCTCAGGCATGAAGGTCTAGTCAGAGACATATTAGAGGCAGAAACAGGAGTTAGGAGGGGTAGAGGTGGGCCAAGATTAGATTACTGTTCGCAAATAGTTAAGGATGTGGGTTGTTTTAGTTTTAGAGAAATGCGAAGATTAACTCAGAATAAGAAAGAATGGAGGTGCGTGTCCAACTAGTCTAAGACTGACGACCCTATGATGATAATGTCCTTGTGCAATTAACTTTATTACAGTTTAGGGACCGAATCTATATTCTATTATTTCGTATGTTGATATTTTCCAAATTTTATTCTCTTATTAGTTTCTCACTTTAATCTAAAAACGTCCAAGACTTGCAGCTCCCCCTTAGCAAGTTCTCCTATTAATTGCATTTCGAAAATATTAATTCTGTTACAGCGTTTATTTACTTTGTATAGTATTTGCTCAGTGATGTAAATTTTAAGTTATGTGTAATTTTGAAGCCAAAAAGATGTTCCATTTGAGAATATTTTGTCGATGTGAACAATACAAGTGCTAAATGCAAAATTTGTAACAAAATATTCACGACCACTGCATTTAAGGTTCACCTAAAATCATTACACTTCCGCATCCGCATCCGCATCCGCATCCGCAAAAATTTACTGGTTACTTCTGTTTCCGTTATGGCACATCCGTTGCATCGCTACTTTAGACCCAAATCAAGACAGCATCAGTTTAACTCTATATGCTCTGTATGCCATGACGATTTATTATTAAACACCTCATTTAATTAATATCTGTATCATAAGTGCATGAGTTCTTTTCAGTTACATCTGGTTGTTGTGGAAAAATAATCAAGGGGAGCAAATGCCTAGTTTACTGGAGCGCACTCCGTATTATCTGAAAGAGGCGATTTTGAATTCCTTATTTGGTTATCACTTGCAAAACCACCCGGTACTTGGCCGTTTTCATTTAGATCTATTAAGACAAATGGCTGCTTCATTTAAACAACGAATTTATTGTGCTGGGGACACCATAACTTTTGCTAACGACCTTGACGAGAAAATGTACTTCATCCACGACGGTACGAATAAACATGTTTAGATCAAGGGGGTGCAACCTTTTGAATAATTCCCAACATATTTCGATACTGATATTAATTATTAAGCCGTAAATCGCTTCCGTATATTGCAGCAAAATTTATTTATTTTTCGTAAAGAAGAGTCAACATTCAATTATATCTTTTATTCGTGACAAAATTTTTGATGTAATAATTCAATATTCAATTATACATTACTCCACATTGAAATTCAAATTTCCACATACTTAAAAGTTACTTAAAAGAAAGAAGCAATGTCTGTAATTCGGTGTTTTTTTTTTTCTATAAGGCATTGTTGAAGTTATCAACGAAGACTCTATGACAACCGGGAGGGTACCGAAACAATTGACAGATGGTGAAATGTTTGGTCTTGAACAGGGACTTAATCCAAGAAAAGGACATTTTTATACGTACAGAGCAAAGAAATATTCGGTTATATTAATGCTAGGTTACCGTTCGTGGTGTCATTTGTTACAATTTTTTCCTGCATCTCAAGCTATAGCACAAAGTTTGGGTTTATTGGCAGCCAAAGAAGACAGTATATGAGATGCGACAGGACAATTAAGTTTGTTATACAATAAGATTGAATTCTTTGTAATAAAAGAGTTTGATCGTTGATTATAAAAAGTGTGTTATTAGTTTGATGACGTCATAAATCGACGCCATACTGTTAATTCGTTCCGAAATATACTGGCCAGTGGATTGACGCGTCAAAATTGACGCCATATTGAGAATAGTGCTCGTATACGACAATTTTACTCCAAAAGTTATTAAAGTTTCTTACAATAAAAAATTCCTTAAAGTCTGATGCAAATACACACCCCGTTTGACATACTCCTCCGTCACACCTGTCTCACCAGTATAATATGGTGGAACGCCAGTACAATATGGCGTCGATTCATGATGTCATCAGCACTGGCCAATACGCTGGGTTATATTTCAGAACATACCCGTGGTGTTACAAGCGAATGATGAGGATGTCGTGGATAGAGAAGGTTGGAAGTGAGGAGATATTACAAAGAATAGGAGAAGAGAGGTCATTATGGAATTCAATAGATATATTGGTAGGACACCTCAAGCATGAAGGGCTAGTTAGTGATACATTAGAAGCAGAAGAACAGGAATTAAGAGGAGTAGAAATAGAACTGGATTAGATTTCTGGTTTTAAGGAAAATGCGAAGATTAGCTCAGGATAGGAAAAAGTGAAGGTGCGTGTCCTACCACGCTTAGGATTGACGACCTACTGACGATGATGAATCTCACAACCACTTACCTCTTTTTCGTAAATAATCATCTATCATGACGGCGCTTATCATGAATACGTTTCCGATACTGCCAATGGCAGCAAGGGATGCCAGAAGGAGTAGCCGAACGATTCGGGGCCATTCTGCGGTTAAGGTCACGGGGGAAACTTGCTCCCCTACGCTCAACGTCAGCTCCGATGAATTTGACAGCATGGCATATGGGGACGGTGGGACTTAATTAACCAACTTCCTTCTACACCTGTCACACAATTACCTGCGACATAAAAAAATATATAAATTAGCTACACGTATCTAATTGATCCGTTAGAAAAGGACAGAAAGACAATGAATTATCAGCAATCCAAAAATACTATAATGGTAGATAGAACTGATTTAGTGAATTAATGTTTCTAAGTAACTTTACGCACTACATATAACCTGAAATTAATGAAAAAAAAATAGTTGCTACTGTCACGCCCTCGCCGGGAATTGAACTCGAACCTATATAGATTGCAGAGTCGTCGAACCAATGTGCGATCATTATTAGTAATGAGACAACGTATGGAGATTTAACGTGCGCCTCCTCACCACGGATGGTAAATTCACACGTCAAACCAACACAGCTGAGCCATGATGGTATGAAGAAGGACTCCCTGGGGTCTCCCCTCCGTCAGACGGATTGGTCCCAGGAAGCCACCGATGCGGTGCCTGAGGGTTAACGAGGCGAGTAACCCCCAAGTTCGGGCCTATCTACACCCTTAACCGTTCAATACAGGGACTACACAACGAACCGGTCGATCCGATGCACAGCCCCCTAACCCATATACATATATACAAAAATATAAAGGGTTCCATTACTAGTAGGTACAACTGTCAAGTCGAAGATGCTCTAATATTATCGCCATTTTCACTGGATACAGTGAGACAGATAAAGTCCAATTTTTTTTTTAAATAAAACAAAGTAAGTATACGGAGAACGCCTCTTCATATAAACAACCGAGTTTTATCTTCAACGTTTTTGTACTCGAATTACGTAACCGCGATGCTGATGGAATTTTATTTGTAGTGAAGAGGCGGCAGGGCAGCGGCATTTGATGGGAGTTCCGCTCCTACGCAAATGAAAGCGGAGCGCATTTGGGGGTTGAAATGTACCTACGGTTACGTGGTCGATATTGACGTAATTGTGTCGCCGGTTAGCCGAGAATGAATGGACGATGGTTCGAAATCGAAATGGGATAGTGGACAGAATGTACATTCATCTAATTTATAATTTAAATAGCAAAAAAAAAACGAAAACGAAATAGTAGAGAGTTCGGAATACAATGAATAAATCATTGTTAAAGTGCTGGAAGGACGTAAACGAAAGCAATCAACAATGCCAGAAATATTGACTAAAATAGAAAAGACTTATGACAGATGCGACCCCGGGCTCTTTGTTTTCTGTTTCTTTCATCGTTCGTGTTGCGTTTCCGGTTTCCCACCCTCTCCTTTGCGACAATTGGAACTACCGCCGTTAGATAACAATTCTAAAAAATTCACCATTACGAACAGGAAATAATAGGTCAGTTATTGAAGTCCTGCTGATTTCGTAATACGAATTCTAAAGCGAGCAACATGAGTTAAAATTAAAAATCTGCATTTGACCTTTGCAGACTCCATCCCGCCGTTTCCCGTAGAAATACCTTATTGCATCGAATGAAAATTCAGAGCTATATCCAATGTGAATATGCATCGTATGCATATTTCCGCAAATAATTCAGATGCACTTTGAACCTGAAATGCAGATCTATATAAAGAGAATGCAAATGAGTAGGTGAGCTGCCATTTTCCAGCCGGAAACTTTACATATAACGCACTTTAAAATATTTTCGTTGACGATGCAGGATCGGAAATTTCTTCTTTTCAAAAAAATCCAAAGTTCATGATAGTTAGTAATTTGTCGAAATTTCGAACTTGTTAGCTCTCATCAGCGCGTCACAGACATCTTCAACCTAACACAGGCCAACTGTATCTGCTGTTTTGGCACAGCGTTTAATGAAATCCTGCAAACGGCACGGTAAACGCCATCTGTACTATGATGCTACATTTATTGGAATTTAATATGTTCAACATAGATGGATATCTACCATACGTGATAGGCACGTTACCAAAATCAAATACCATTTCTTANCATAGAAATTTGAATAAAACATTACGTTATGATTTCTCAGCAAGACTTTCGTTCATGAAATTAATAAAACAAATAAGTTTTCATATTACATTTTGAGACACGTAAAAAATCTTCTTCAATGCACTTAGGTCAAAATCACGTATGTATAAATTTTCGTACTGTTCTCGCGTATATTTTTAGCGTTTAATGATTAACTGGGTGGTAATAAATTCTATATATTCCAAATTCCATTAAACTTTTGCAAATAAACCAAAGCACTATAAATAACTTAATTTTATTGATTCGGATTGATGCTTGAAAGCCGGAATAGTTTTTGTTGTAAACAACTTTGACCAAGTAATCGTCGAACATTGTGTAGTTCGTTATACAATGAACCATTATACACCTACACGTAGACAAACAATACATCACTTCAATAGTACAAAGTGCCGAGTAGTCAATTAATGCCAAAAATACTAGGTATACTTCATTTACTTTCTCTAGCGATGTGCCCCTTCCAATGTCTTGTATGCGCGCTGGCAAAATCGTAGATAGGGAGAAAAAAGCTCATTATACTCTCGACTGTTGTTCATTGAACATACTTTTTCATACAGTACCTGCCAAAAGTTTTGTTCA